GAAGTCAAGCTGAGATATACTTCTTGTCATAACCTAAATACACTGCTGTATCACTCATAGCAGATTCTCATTTAATTGTGGTTATTCCTTTAGCTTTGATGATCAGTATTTCATCAACAGTGAAATAATTAAAACAATATAGATATGTGCATCATGCTCAAAGTTCTTGAAAGTTTTGCCATTATTATAACTTAGCAACAAAGCAACCACGCTTTGGACATAAATACTTAGGCTTTAGCAAGAAGTATGATGTGTGAGTAGTGAAAAAGGCAATAATTTCAAGTGGCCAGCTCTTTATGGCATTGTGATTAGCTTAGAATAAATAGACATAATCCGATTACTATTAATTCTCTACAAAACTGAATGGACACTGAAAATTTTCATTGTGAAACTGGAGGATGGGTAGCAGGCAAAACATTCAGTCTCAGGATCTTAACGTTAAAAGGACTATTTCATGCAGTTGTAGACTGCATGAAATAATAAGAGTGTAATAAGAGGTCCAATCATGCAATAGAGAAGAAACAACTAAAGACATGAAACATGGGAAAAACCTTTTCACACATTGGCTTTTCTGTGCTAGACCAACACCAAAACAAGATGTAGCAAAATGAGGTGTAGCTGCAATTCTAGTTTGTCTCCTACCACAGGAAACAGTCCTTATTAGAGGGCAGAGTTTTTATAGTTAATAAGAGCTATAGCTTTACAACTTTGCAAGGTACTTTTAAATATCCATCCTTGCCTTACAACCTGCAAAACTTAGTTCTGTTTGTTTCATATTAGTGCAGCACTGCATAAATCTCAGTTTGCTCTTATTTTACAATTTCCTCTTTTCCATATCCAAATAGCTATAGTTAAAAATAAGTATTTGTAGCCTAGCAGAGGAAACAAACCCTCTTCCTTGCTCAAATTACTTAAATTGTCTTATTTGGAGTACCAATTAAATGATTAACTGATTTTTCCACAACACTCTAAAATGACACTTCTCAGAAGTGATCTGTTGAGTCAGATTGTCTGCAGATTCAGGGAGTGCTGTATCTTTTGATGTTGGGCATAATTCAGACTCTTTCTTTGTAACTGTAAGGAATAGAAACTGTTGCTCAAAGGCAAAATGAGATATCAGCATACGAGGTAAGAAACAGGGCAATAGTGATGGGCTGTCTACTGTTCTGACTGTTGTGGGAATGAAAGACATACAGCTAATTTTTCTTAATCTCCTTAATATAGGAAAAAAGTACCTGCAGAATTAATAAAGATCCTAGCACCCCAAACAGTAAGGTTCTCCTACATGCTGGTAATGCTGGAAAAGTTACACTCCTTCATGCTGCACTTGTACATGTAATATCCCACACATAAATTGCCCCCAGAGTTCAATGGATCTGCTGACAAAAGGGAAGTTACTCCTCCCTCTAGATGGATATGGGCTATGGAGTCCAGACAGCCAACTCTGCTTTTCTGGATGACTAACCAAGTAGGCTGTGGGAGCATGCCAATGAATATGAAGAGAACTCAGTTAATAAGGACAGTGGTGACAGGCAGGAAAGATGCCTCCTGTGAAAAATATCATAAAATTTGACATTTACAAAAAGTTTAAATTACAAACAAAAGTATATGCTAGCAAGAACTTGGAGGACAAACTTGGGATCCAAAGGTAGCTTCAAAATGAATCAGGCCAGGATTTCATCCAGGGATTTGAACATCAACAGACCAGGCAAAGCTTAAAGATGTGAGTTCACAACTATGCTAAGCTCTTCCCTCACCTCTGGATATTCATTCCCATTCCTTCCATTTGGCTAGCACTTGCTTTCTGTGTCAGCTCAACTGTTCAAATTCCAGAGCTTATACAGCTATAAATAAGTAAGTAAATAAATAAGTCAGCATTTAGCATCACTAGTAGTGTTTCAACATTTTATACTATTATATTTACTAAAGTAGGAAAGTTCCTCACTTTCACTCGAGCCAACAGTTTGGCTCAAGAGACATTAGCTATTCTGCTCTAGTTACTTTAAAATATGATCCAAGCAACAGTTTTTAGTGATTCTCAAATTATAACACAAATATAGTTGCCGTAAAGCTGTGGCTTAGACCCATAGCTTATGCAGAACATTTCTTTAATGCATGGTTCATAACTATCAGGTGGAATCCTGGTTTTTGCCTTGTTTCCTCCTCTAAGGATACTGAACAACATTATCTCATGGTCAGTGCACCCAAGGTTTGCACATTCCCAACCAGTCAATCCTTGTTTGTAAGTATGAGCTGCAGCACTGTGCCACCCCTTCTTGACTCCATCACCTGTGCCAGGAAGTTGTCATCAATGCACTTCAGAAGCCTCCTATATTTGCCCAGGGTTTTGCCCAATATTTTGTTGGGGTTTTTTTTAACACTGTCTCTTAGTCTGAGGTGTGAAGGTACTCCCACCACTGATAAATGGCATGGTTACCATATGGATCTAGTCTTCGATATTACCACTACTACCTGATCACTGGCTCATTGCTATTACTAGACACTTGTTCTAGCACATTAATGTTGTCAGAATTCTTTTTTAAAAAATATAAGCATTGACCATTGTACACAGCCTACAGTCAAAACAGTTGAATTCAACCTATAAGGCAAGGGGAAGCATGGTTTGACTCTAAACTCCCATCACTGTCATTTCTGCAAATACTAATCTGTTTAGTGTCAGGTGGCTATGATAAAAAGGAGTAATAGAAAGGGCTTTTGGAAGAAAATGTGTTTCATCAGAAAGGTTTAAGACAAAAAGCCAAGCCAGAACTTGAAAGCATTTTCACTGCCAATTCTTACTAACTCCAATATTAACAATTGACCTGGGGGGAAGGGAGAGGAGTGCAACAGTTAAATATGTTACTCTTCACAAAACAGTAATCTTCACAAACCTTTTTCACATTCTTGGCATTTGCCACTCATGTCCAACATTAGCAAAAAATGATGCTAGTATTTGGAAAGTTGAAGCGACATTGAATTCCTTCCTCTTTAATAATTTATACCAGGGTCTCAAAAGATCTGCAAAGAACTTGAAAGCAGAGTTGCTTTTCAATATTTAAAATGTTATGAATATTTATTTTTCACTTTTACTGTGACTCCTATTCACCACAAATGCAAAGGACAACTGTTCAAAATGTTTTCCATGCTGGATCTAGTTAAATGCTTCTCTTCTCCCATCCGATTTGTCAACTCTGCAAATATTACTCAGGCCCCCTGATTCCTTCATATCTGTACATAAGCATACTGTTAAAAATAAATCCTTATTCATCACAGTCTGATTTTTGCATTAAAAGTTTCCTGAAAAATATATACTACGTTATAGACCATTTTCTGCATTACTCTTAATCCCTCGGCATTCCATAAATTGCCATGGGCAGGGACACCTTCCACTAGATCAGATTACTCAAAGCCCCATCCAACCTGGCCTTGAATACTTCCAGGAATGGGGCATCCACAACTTCTCTGGATAACTTGTGTCAGTTCCTCACCACCCCCAGAGTAAAGAATTTCTTCCTAATACCTAATTTAAATCTCTTGTCTTTTAGTTTAAAACCAATACCCTTTGTCCTATCACTACCTGCCCATGTAAAAAGTCCCTCTCCCTCTTTTTAATAAGCCCCCTTTAAGTACCGGAAGGCTGCAATGAGGTCTCCCTGGAGCCTTCTCTTCTTCAGGCTGAACAACCCAGTTCTCACAGCCTGTGTTTGTAGGAGAGGTGCTCCAGCCCTGTGATCATCTTTGGGGCCCTCCTCTGGACCCGCTCTAGCTGCTCCATCTCTTTCTTGTGCTGAGGACCACAAACCTGGATGCAGTTTCATGAGGGCAGAGCAGAGGGAAATAATCACTTCCCTCAACCTGCTGACCACTCCTGTTTTGATGAAGCCCAGGATATGGTTGGCCTTACGGGACTATGAGCGCACCTTGATGGGACATGTCCAGCTTTTCATCCATAGAACCCCTAAGTGCTTCTCTGCAGGGCTGCTCTCAACAACTTCTTCTCCCAGTCTGGACTCATGTCTGGCATTGCCCCAATCCAGGCGCAGCACCTTGCACTTGGACCTGATGAACCTCATGAGGTTCTCATGGGCCCACTTCTCAAGTTTGTCCAGGTTCCCCTGGATGGCATCCCTTCCTTCTGTTGTGTCACTTGCAATGCTCAGTTTCATGTCATCTGCAAACTTGCTGAGGGTGCACCAGGTCTCACTGTCTGTCTCATTGATAAGGATATTGAAGAGCACCAATCCCAAGACAGAGCCCTGAGGGACATCGCTTGTTACTGGTCTCTACCTGAACATTGAGCCATTGACAACAACCCTCTGGCTGTGGCCATCCAGCCAATTCCTTACCCACCATATATAGTCCACCCTTCAAATTCACATCTCTTAAATTTGGAGATAAGGATGTAATGTTCTTCATCTTCCATGAAGAACATTTATGTATTTCTCATGAGAAGATAGAACTTTCCAGGAAAAGAAAGGTCCATCCCTGAAATATTTATAGCTTTTGCACTGAAAGACTTGGAACTCAGAACACTTATTTTAAAACAAAAAACCAAACACCCTACTAACAGTGTAGTCATTTGGTTGTTTCCAAGTAAGCTTTGTTACTCCATCTACTCCCACTGATGAATCAAGGTGTCCAGTAGGAGGTTTCTTGTGTTTCACATCAACTGGTGCTTAGTGTATACCCAGCAGCAAAAATATGCTTTATAGCCCTCTGAAAACATGAAACATTGGCATGTGAATATGAATACATGAGGGCAATCTCATTATATAAATAGGAAACCTGTTAAACTCTCATCAAGATAAGGAATATTTTTTTCCAATATATTGTTAGTTTCCTCTGGGAAATTCTGTCTTTAATAAAAAAGCACCTTCATAGAGGCTGTAATGGGTTGCTTAAAAGCAAGCAAATGAAAAACCCACACAGAAGTCCTAAGAGAAAAGCCATGAAGGGAATTTTTGCTGTCAAAGCATTAAAAACAAAAATACAAAATGTGCTATATTTAAATTAACTTTAATAAGAAGTACAAAAAGATAATGTTAAGCAATATTTTGCATGTGGTTAATAAATATTCTTCAACAGCAAGCAGTGACACATTCAAACATAAATCCAGTTATTTCTTTTACATTTTAGAAAAGTAACAATTTTCCCAGTTAAAACAAGGTCACAAATTACAGAATATTATTATCCTCTTTAATTATTTATAACTATGAAACCTACTAAATAAGTGAACTGTCACCCAGAAGATTTTGTATGATGTTGATGTTCAAAGTTAAGTATACTTACATTTATCATGCAGTTTCTTACTGTGCATATTTGATTGGTGTTTAGTTTTCTTTAAAATTATTGGTTTCATTCTTCCTGTTTCCTTATTTCTTGCTAGTATATTGGAAGCATTTATTTTCCAAGTCCTATACATTTTCATGCCTAAGTGACTCACTAAAGTAGATTTGTCATACAATGCATAAATGCTTTTTGACTCCAGCCCAGCTGAGAAGTTGCTAACCATGTCTGAATTAGACTCCACTGTATTTTTACTATTTTTTTAATAAAGTATAAAAAGATTTAGTGTAATCATGTCCATTAAAATTAAAGTGCCTTCAAATGTTTCCTAATAAAGTGACTATTTGGAGGGGACAGGGTGAGGGGTGCTGTTTAGGAACTGATTTTTTAACAGTTTATAGATACGGTGCATATGTATTCTAATAGATGTAAAGTACTACATTGCATTCCGTGCTAATGCTAAGCTACAGTAGCCTATAAACTGATAAATTCAGCCAAAATGAACACCTAATAAAGAATATCAAAATCAGTTTATCAAAGTAATATCTTGTTTCATTCTCCATTTCCATTCATCCTCAACAGCATAGTTAGATGGATAAAGTACTGGAAAACAAATATAACACTTCAACCTGTTGAAGCTTGAGCTTGCCTCTTTTAATATCAGATGAATGAAACCACTCATTGCAATCATTAAAAACCTTGAATGCATAAAGACATATTCCAGAACCCCTGACTGAGTGAAGTATTCACAACATTATGAAAAGAATTAAAATTTAAAAGCAAAATAGAACTTTTAAAAAAAATATAATCATATGTATTTACGTAGACTTCAACACTAGAGGAAGAGTATTTTGCATATTTTAAAACATCCTCCAAATTCTTTTTTGTTAGTGTTATCACCTAATCCTAACTCATAGCTCTTTGTAAACATTCTTAAAGGGCATTAATATATACCAGAAATAGAAAAGACATCAAGTCCTGTATTTCAGTATGGTTGACTCTTCTTTTAAGAGTTTATTTTCACAGATTAAAGAACTGCCAACCTCTGTCCAAAGGAGCATCCAGGTGTACTGTTAGGTGTACTCCTCTTCTGTAAAAATTCTTACTGACCTCATTGACGTAGATGAATATCCTGAGGATTTGAATCAGTTTTATTTTAAATTCAGCGCAAATTTTGCCCTGATCTCTGTCAGAGATGACAAGCCCTCAAAGTTTAGCTTCTTCCAGTAAGATGTAATCACAGATTCCAAAACACAAGTTAAACAATTCACCTAGAGATGTGAATCTCAAAAATTAAGTGGTTTAAAGTAGAGGAAAACAAACATTTTATGTGATGAAGATCTGCCATTCATTGAAACAAAGTTTTGATCCTTTAACTTCTACTACTAAAGGCCTAAAGTGATGAAGTCCCTCACGGATTCTCAGATGGCTCTAATTAACAACTGAATTCAGAGTATAATTAAAAGTTCTGGTTGTTAGGAAGTTTGGGTTATCTGCAGAAATGGGGTGGACAAGGTCTCCTTGACTAAAAAGAAAAAAATATCAAGACATTAAAGGAATATAACAAAGTTATATTGCACACTATGAGCATTCTAGAAGGAGGTATGCTGTGACTGGGAGGAGGTGGAAGGAATCCTAACACTCTTTTATAAAGAACCATTGTCTTTACTCGAAGCTGAAGCATGAGCTGAATTTCATATAAATTCACAAAATTACTTTAGTGTTTCAATGTCTGGAAGACAAAAACTTTATATGTGACATCAAATTATACCACACTCAGAGATTATATTTCGATGTGTTTGGACATTTGTACATTTATCTTATGTGTTTTTTAAATGAAGATATTTGACTTAGTGGGTTTATTTTAAAATGTTTTCTTCCTCTACTTTAAAATTCATGGCATTACTTTATAAATTTTAGCATTGTGTGTGTACTCATAATTGGGCATACACTGATGATAGCTTCATATCCACACCGAAATAATCTTCTGTGCATATTTGTTAGGAATGGAAATGTTCAACAGCATAGACCATCTATTTTGTGAAAGGCCAAGGCAAAACTTGTGTACCACTAAACGTTCAGAATAGGAATGAGAGGTATGGAGGATGGACGCTGACTGTCTGAGTTTAAGTGAAAGTCACACCTTTTAAGAAAACAAAATGTAGAATTAACAAAGTTTTGTTTAATTTCTGAAGCTTCTTTTCTCCCTCTACCCTAGATATCACAAATGGCAGGAGGTACACAACACTGCATGGACTGTTTTCATAAAGCAGTCAGTAGAAACCTCTCACTTTCAAAGGCACAACTCATGTCCCTCAAGTTCAGCAGAGTTATACAAAAAGTATTTCAATTTCATATGCTCTAAGAGTTACTTTCCCTCAAGTCACATATGGCAGTGAAGGCTCAGAACTGAAGCTGAAACAAAAACACCATTAATTCCTCAACAGCTTCTTCCTCAGTTACCTCACAATCCACTGACATGGTAACAAAGCTTTTTCTCCTTCCTCCTTTCCTCCCTCGTACATCCCTACCCCCTTCCAGCTGCTTCTGGTTGATTTCATACAGACATTTTATGGTCACCTCACCTTTGAAAAGTCTCATCACCTATAACAACAGGGAAGGGAAGGTGATTCAGTAAGGCTCCTGTTTGGTGTCTAAATGCTCTCTCCTGTGACTATACAAGCAAATTAGCTCCTTAATTTAGAACAATGTTCAGTGATATGAGTAGTCTCCCAAACTAAAGCTTGTATGTCAGAACACCTACCATAATATTGTTTTTAAAAGATGCTAAACACTGCAGCAGTTACAAGTTGAATTAGCCCAGATATGGAAGGTAAAAGTAATTTCATTGGCTACAGTACAGCTGAGAAGTTTGGAAGCCACTCTCTTAAAAGCAATCTGTCATGAAGTGTCCAGCAGACAACTCTGGCTGATAAACACTGCTGATCTCCACAGTTTTCATGCTGATTTGTGAATTACTGTTAAATTAACTGACCACATGCGTTCAAAAGTCTGTGCCCTAGTACAACATTGAAAACCGATTTCATAAACCTCATTCGGAACTAGTGTAATTCCAATATAAGTTTACAACAATGTAAGTATATCTTTGTATTTATTGTATTAATTTCTTAAGTCATATAAAATATGACACCATGACCCAAAAGTAATGGGAAAAATAAATTAGATTAATATGCCAACCAAAAAATTCACTGGTAGATTCCATGTGCAAGTCTTTGAGAGAGAAGTGACCTGCGTTTTCTCACTTATTGTCTCTCCCTACTCGAATGAAATGAAACTTCTGGGTATTTGCATTTAACTTTGTGACACCAGCTTTAAAATCCCAGACGCAGATTTTATACTGCTAAATGAAAAGAAGGCCTAACTGTGGCATTCCTTGCACAGTGCTTCCATTCACTTAAGTTCACATTTAAATTCACTAATCCAGTTGATAGTCTTACAGATTTGCAACTTACGCGTACTCAGTTTACCCACTGTAAATATTTCTGTAGTGAAACAATAAAGCAGACTCCTTCTTCCCACAGAAGGAGTTTGCTTTAGTGTGGATCAACTGAACTAAATGTGAAAGTGAAGCTTTTCTGGAGCATACCCACTTAAAAGCCTTGCTGATGCCCACAATAACTGCATGTAAATATTTCAAATTTATTCTTTTTCACTAAGTGAATTTATATAGTGTGCCTACTTTTCTATATAAATGTGCAATAAATGTATCTTTAGCATCTGATAAACCCGTTTCTTTGACTGACTGACTCTAAGCATAACACAAGCATAGAGAAAAGGGTCAGTCAATGAAAAAATAGTTGTACCCAATAAAAGCAGTAGTAGGAGAGCTGATTAACTTTAGACATCGTCGGCTTCTTGTGCAAATTGAAGATAAACTTTTTGCATGCAGCTCTGAATTATCCAAATGTTATTTTCCAGAGAAGAAGTCTTGCTGTCAAAAACCTTTGAAGGGTCCCGTTCTTGGATAAGGATGCAAAATCCTTCCTTGTCAGGTAATTCAACATGACTCTGAGCACACTTATATTTGGTATGGGGAGAGTTCTGACTATACAGTGTTGTGCATGGAGAAATACACATCATGTCAATGTTGGGAAGGCTTTGAGTACCTGGGACGTAGCCAAGGGTGAAACACAAACCTCTGTTTCTCATACCCCTGTCCAGTGAGGTTTGGAGAATTCCTAGATCTTGATGTGAACAGAAGGTATGAACTCCCAGTAGGTCACAGGAGGGAGACCTCAGTCACAGAAAACATAATCGAGCAAGAGCAGTTTAGCACGGGCCTCCCTTGAACTATACAGTCAGAGCCCTTTGCCAAAAACAGAGTTAAAAGTGATTTTTCTATAGTCCTAATATTTACAATTATTTGTACATATGTACATATTTATATACTTCTTCATACCTGGACAATGTGATGTTGAAGGGATAATTTATAATTTACAAATGAAACATTTTAAAAATGTATAGTTATACCATGAAAAAACCTTTTTTTATTGCTTGCCTTCCAGCCTTATGCTTATAATCACACTATTGCACACATCTCCCTGTTACATGGAAGATCTACATTTACATATAAATATATATGAAAATAAGGATATTTTTATTTTAATGTTCTGAGTAAAGTGCTCATTTTTTAGCTACTGTTGATGAGAAAGGTTTAGACTGACAGTTTACTTAGAGGGAATTCAAGGGATACACACCTTGTCCATGCTTTTCCCTTTCATTTATAACCTACAAAATGTCTTTATTTTACTGATGTCATCTCTGTCTTACTATTAATTCTATTCATAATATGCATTTGTGACCTTGGCGTGTATACTGTCACACAAAATACAAAACAGAATCACATCAAAAGCAAAGAAAAAGCAAGAAAATAAAACAGCAAAAGAAAGCAGTGTTTCTCTTTGTTGTTTTTAGCACATTTCCATGTCTTAAGATACTCTTTTATTTGATTTTAGAAATATTTGTACAACTTTTTTTTAAACTCTGAACATATCTATTTTATGCACTATACTCAAGTACTGTACAAAACTGCAATAAATGACACTATACGACTACAAATGTCTCTACTAGAAGACATCATCATAAAGGTGTATCTTTTTTTAAAGGTCAACTAATAACTGCTAATGTATGTGTGAATCAAAATATTTTTGATTGGCCAAGTATACTAAAATCTAAATGCAGTACACAATTATTTCTTATGTTGTGATTTACCAGGCCTTTAGGGGCATAAAGAATCTTTGCAAAGGCTCAGACCAAAAACAATTTTACTGATAGTATTAAATGTTCTTATAAAATTGCCAGTGGCAGCTCCAATTTTGTTATATCTGTGTATATGAAATACAGTTGATACCTACTGATGATGCATGACCTTTTATTAAAAAAATAACATCCAAATCTTAGCAAAATCATTTCTAGTATACAAAGTTGTTGTAAAGTTATGTCAGCGAAATGTAAAGTTGCAATTTACAAAAGCAGCAGTAAATTTTATTATATGGACAATTTTCTAAACTTAAATCACGGTTCTCGTTTCCCTTGAAAACAGTGCTTCCTGGGACAAACACAGGTAAATATTTTAATGGCAGGCTTTAGGAAAATATTAGGCAAGGAAATAAAGTATATTATATTACTGATATACTTAACCCTAAAAAATTTCTTAGTGCGTTTATGAATCTGATAATATCCAATTGAGAACAAAATCAAAAAGCAAAAAAAATTCCTTGCTGAACCAGACAACCCGGCTTAGCAACATCAAATAAATAAAGCAGTGAAAAGAATAAGTCTCACTAGCAGAAGTTGGCTGATATTGGAAATTTGATTAGCACTTCTCCCTGAAATCAATTAGATTAATTTATTAACAACTTCAAAGAGGACAGAAGTAAGAAACTTTTGGCTTTTGCCATATAGTAGTCTTTCCTACCTCTTCAGTCTAACTAGTATCCAGAATATTTGTGAAGAGTAGAACTGTACGACCTCTGTACTCTGTTATGTACATGGGTACTGCTATCGTATCAAATAATTACACCTTTTTAAAAAAAATCACTTTTTTAAATGACATTTTCTTTCATTAAAGTAGAATTAGTTACTTTATAGAAAAATATTTTAACTTTAAATTAAAAAAATACTGTTCCTAAATAATTATGTAGGATCATATCTTCATTTCATTGTATGGAGAGAATATAACTCTGTATATTTGAATGCTAGTTTAACCGAAGTCCCCTGGGTTTAACTTTTAAAGAGCTGGCTGTATTTGCCATGGGTGCTATCTGTTTACAGACCCATGAATTAATACTGTGTGCCTCCTTTGGAGATACACAGACAAGACATTTATATACACACTGTACATAATGGTTCACAGATTAGCAGTTATTAGTCAGACTGTACATAGCAAACAACCTATCTGATTAGAATGATGCGTTAAGTCCTCAGTGCAATTCGGCTTTTAGGTTGATGGCGCAAAGCCAAGTAAGACAGGCTCCCTGTTTAAATATGTAGCCCAATACACTAAATTAAAAGTACCAAATAATACTGGAAACACTATTCTAGACATTCTGTCAATTTTGCTAACACTGTTGAATGTCTTCTTTGCTTCTTGTGGCTTCGCTTCTGGTTTTGCCTTGTTGGGTTCTGCAGTTGTAGCACTCTTGGAGATGGTTGGTAGCACTGAGTCCTTGGTAATATTTGGAGCATAGTTGGCAACAGCTACTGCATAGGCATTGTTTTTCTTAATGACAGACGCTTTTTCTTTTTTCTATTGGGAGACAGCATGAAGTTAAATATTTAATGTGTATTTGCCAGAATAGACTTAAGAAAACATAATTTCAAAAATAAAAGAAACAAATGAGTATGTGTTCTGAGTATACTAATGACTATATTAAAATAAATACCAGGAATAACGTACTGATAAATTCAGATATTCCAGTCTATCCAAAAATAAAGTAGAGGTGACATAAAATTGCTTTTGCACCATTAAATCCCCTACTGAAGTTATATGAGGAAGGGTCTGTTTCTGCGATTTTAAGGATAACTGGAAAAGAGTTGGACTTTCTCCAGTTGTTTTGTATCAGCCTCCTTACAATAGAATTGCAGTGATGAGAACAGAAATAAGAATCTAAAAAATGGCAGAAGATAAGACAAATGGGATGGAATTTAAGTAATTTAATGAAGCTCTGCAAAGACAAATTTAAATCCTGCACCTGGGGAGAAATAACCCTATGCAGTAGCACAGGTTGGGGCTAATGGGCTGGAAAGCAACTTTGCAGAGAAAGCCCAGGAGGTCCTGGTAGACACTAAGTCAAACACAAGCCAGCAATGAGCCCTCACAGACACAAAGGCCAACAGCCTCCTGGACTGCGTTACAGAGAGCGTTGCCAGCAGACCATGGTAAGTGATCATTCCCCTCAACTCAGCCCTGGAGAGGCACATCGGGAGCCCTGGGTACAGTTCTGTGCTTCCCAGTTCAAGACAGACACGGACATAATAAAGCAAGTCCAGTGAAAGACGACAAAGATGATTTAAAGCCTGAAGCATCTGAAATATGAAAGGCTGAGAGAGCTGGGGCTGTTAGGCCTGGAAAAGAGAAGGCTCGGGGGGGAATCTTAACAATGTGTATAAATATCTGATGGGAGAGAGTAAAGAAGACCAGACTCTTCCCAGTGATACCCAGTGGAAGGACAAGACGCAATGAGCACAAACTGAAATACAGAATAAACCACTTTGACATACTAAAAAAAAAAAAAAGTCTTTTACTGTAAGCATGACCGAGCACAGGCACAGATTGTCAAAAGAGGTTGTGTAATCTCCATTTTTGGAGATATTAAAAAATGTCTGGACATGACCCTGAACAACCACCCCTAGCTGACCCTGCTTGGAGTATGGGAGTTAAATTTGATGATCTCCAGAGGTCAATTCTAACCTCAACAATTCTGTGTTGTTATGGGATTGTGTATGCTTTCAAAGGGCTAAAATGCAGCCTATAGCAGTTCAGTAGAGAGTCTATGTGTACACATAGGTACAGGGATGTGTAGATAATGAATACAGGCTTGAGGTTTATATATAGGTACGCAGGCAAGCTCTGCAATAAGACTGTAATGTTATAGATTGATTCACTGTTTTGCAGCAATGTCAAACCAAGGAATTTCTAATAACCTACAGGAAAGAATGGAAGGCAGTTTCTCAGGAAGTAACAGATATTATTTACATATATACATTAAAATATAACATATAAGTTATACTTAAAATATAATAATATAACGTAATATGAAATATATACATATATTATTTAGAGACAGGTCAATAAATATTAGATTAATTCTATCCCTTCCAGAAAATACAGAATTAAACAGATGAAGAAACAGTTAACTTTTGGATCATATAAGAAATCATCAGCTGTTGTATTGGTTTGTTTTGATTTTTAATCTAATGGAAGTGGCACAAGTGAGGGAATTCTTGTGACATTTCTCATACAGGTGCATTTCTCAGGTGCATTTAAATTTTTTACTTCCACTGGGAGGCATCTACTCAGTTTCCAAATTTTGGTTTTAAATTATGTTCAATTTTATATTTATACATGCCATCTAAAAATCTTGGTAAGATCCTCATGGTTAGATGCTGTGCCCAATATCCCTTGTCTTAGGAGATGGTGTCACATAAAAAGAGAATCTGGGAATCAGTTGGGAATTTAGCATTGTTCCTTGTTGACTGGAATGTGAAATAGTGTTGATCAAATATGTAGCTTGTTCCTGCACCTGCTTTCCTGTGAGACAAATTCCATGTCAACAGCACTTATACAAGAATTTCCATATAATGTGAACACAGATGACTGTCACTGAGGAAACATATTTAGCTTTAATTGGTGAAGAGTAAGCCTGGCTTTAGGTGTACAGATGCATCCAGCAAAAATAAGAACAAATTACCAAACCAAATTATGAGAGAAACACTCTAATTCATCTAAAATTCCTTCCTTTCTGACAAAATTAGTCATTATGTTCTAAGATTTATATACCATTCACATGTCCAGTTCTCTACTTTCTTCAAAATGACTTAACAAAAAGCTAAACTTTTAACATAGTCATTGTTTCTCATATGAAAATATGGTTCATCTTTATTATGGAGATTTCATTAATGGTGGCACAGACACCTTTTAAAAACACACTAATTTTGTCATTCCTAGGAAAGGAATACTACCTAGCTGTTAAACAGTTGCTGCTCCCAAGATTATGAGACAACACTACTGTACTACTTTAAAGGAACAACCAAAGGATGATCAGAGAGTTTATAAGGGCTCCCTACGTAATTACAATGCAAGAGCAATGTGCCAGTCTGAAAAGCTTCACTCATGAGATGCTGGTAAACCTGTAGTGATTCAGTATCTACCTCTAGCAGGAGGGAACAGATCCTGAAGTTATGGATAGTTCATGCCCTTATGGAAGTCACAGGGACTTACAAAGAATGTACATTTCTTCTAATTCTTCTTTACTATTACCTGAACAGTTTTCTTCTTTATGCATTCAAAATGCTGAGAAATCATCAGTTAATGAAACTTTGCTTCACATCTACCATAATCATTTAGGAAGCAAACAATATTCTATCCTATTTTAAGAAGAATTACAGAAATCAGTGTATTCCTTGTCAGAAGAAATCTGTTTTCATTGGTAGAATCAGGGACTGGGATAGAACAAAATTATATATTAAGTCAGTCAAAACAGGTGGGTTTTAATATTTGTTCTGTATTATTACAATTCTAATCCGTAAATATACAAACTTGGGAGTACCACCAGTTCATTCTGTTCGTGAAATAAGAAATTCTATCAAGTTAAAACTTCATGCTATCACACCTACCCCACGATCAAAACCAAAAAATTAAGGCATGACTGTATTTCTGCACACTCAGAGCACCAATACCTCATAGGTGAAGAAGAATTTTGTACAACTGCTATTTAAATTAGCTTTTAAATTAATGTCTATCTATCATTAGGGAAAAGTTTTAGAATACTGGAAATATTCAAAGGTTCTAGATTTTGTTATTCATAGTTGTTACATACATGGACATTAATTTGTTTTCTGATCCTTACTTACCAGGAAAATTAATATACATTACATCTTTCTGTATTCTTTTTCTTATTTCCAACTCATTTGAATTAAAATATTAAAAAAGTTATCAACCAATATAACCTGTATTAAATTTTATGAATGACCAGATAAAGTTGTATCTGAGGAGTCAAAAACCAAAGTAGACAGCTCCCAATATTAAAAAAAAAAAAAGTGTTTGATAACTAAATCTGGATTAGTGAGACCAAATGGGATTTGCTACATCAAGGCAGATATGTTTTTGTTCGGGACAGAAAATACATCCACATTCTTTTGATTTAAAGCACCATGTATTATTTTTTTAATATAGCCTATTTTATCAAAACAATGCATTACAGCTATTTTAGTGCAATTGACTAGAAATAGGACTATTTCCTTAGGACTTACCTTATCATTCACTACACTTTTTCCATCCCAGGCCCATCCTCGTTTTGTGAAATAATTTACAGTTGCAAATTCAATTAATGCAGAGAATACAAATGCATAACAAACAGCAATAAACCAATCCATAGCTGTTGCGTATGCTACTTTGGGGAGTGAATTTCGAGCACTGATGCTTAGTGTTGTCATTGTCAACACAGTTGTTACTCCTGCAAGGGGACACAAAAACACAACATCAACATTTTTTCTTGGATTTTGAATGTTAAGAAAAATACAAGCCAAAAACTATTATGGTATGTTTTTAAAACACAAAGGGAAATTTGCTTATCTAAGTTGGTGATAAATTGCCAGAACTATATTAAAGGTTACATCTGGATATTTCTCTGAAGTGTTCTAGTTCAATTTTGTTGTCTAAACTTCCCTGATGAATATCGGGGGGTTGGGGGGTATTTTAGGGGTTTTTTTTGGTTTTTTTTTTGGCAGTAACTGTCTCTCAAACCATTCAGTGACATAGTTGAAGATATAAACAAGATAAGTTTTCATTCAGGTAACATGGATTGTTTTCTAGAACAGCATTGATTTGAAATTCCAAATTATTATAGTTATATTGTGTGTCAGAAAACAAGACTTGATGATCCAGGAAGACTGTTCGTTCACTGTGGCAGTTACTAGAAGCATTTTGCAGTACTTTTTACGTAATGAGGACCCAGTAGGAAATCAGGAATTATACTAAAAAATAAAATCAGAAAAAAAAATACATGGGAGGAAAGGAAGAGAAGAACATTTTTCTTAATCAAATATAGCAAGCAGAAACCCATAACCACAAATGCAGTCTCCATTCCTTAAGTAAATCAGTTCTCCCACCTCAGGCTGAATCCCACTTAGACAAACTAAACTATTCCCTTTGTCACCATTAAATATATCTCCAGAATTAAAAGCAACACAAAGTGATATACTTAGCACAGATCACTAAGCCCACACTCCATTATGACAGGCAAAGGAGAATTCCATGGCAGAAATATATGCACATCACAGCTTCAACAAATACACACTTTTAAAATTGTTGTAAGAGGCTTCCCAAGAGAAAGTAAAGTCACTCTTCCTAAATCAGATCCTCTACTGTCAGCATTCTGTCACCTGGGTTCTGAAGGATCGACATAGCTCAGACTTTCCTTCTGCTACAAGAGAACCAATTTTAACCACTGTGTGAAAGGGAAGAGAGGCAGCAATTACACCTACTGAGACCTCCTCAGGCTTTGCAATTTCCATCCCTCCAGTAAAGAATCTCCATCTCTGAGCGTGCTACAAAGGGTGGCAGAGCAAAGCTAAGTGGACTCAGTCTCAGTGCTACTGTCTCTTGATGAGCTTTCAAAGGTCTGTACAGCAGGGAAAACAAGGCATAGAAGCATCCTGCTGAGTCACACAGTATCCAGACACCTTAGGAAACATAAATCCCTAATTGCTGTTTTTCAGCCTCCATAAATTTAAGAAGTGGATTTGGCCTGGAATCAGCCATGACACTGTTGGAATCTACAGGTCTATATAATGAAAAGGAAGCAGCTGTCATACTATACAGTACAAAAAAGTGCAGACAATATATTTTGTAAAGAACTTGTTCTCTCCTAACACTTTCACAACATATGGCTTAATTATTTTCAGCACCTAAAGAAAAGACAGTCTATCTTACATTTAAAGTTATCACATGCAAATTTTAACACCAGTCCTGAGCTGCAGATAAATCATTATAATTATATGGAAGAATGTTTCTCACATATAGGGTGACCTCCTTCACGTGTAAATATATACAGTTGCTAAGGTACTGCTCTGTTTAAGTCCTACCTTTCAGAATAAACCAATCTTCTGGAAGCCCCATTGACTTCCTCAGAAATCTAATTTAAGATTTACTGCTGATCTTTCCTAGCCTCAATTAAAACATCACAAATTTGCGTCTTGTATCTTGCTACCACTTGACAATTTATCTAAACAATTCGGGAAGCCACACCACTTTGTGACCCAAATGCTAATCAAGCAGTACGCTGTCAGACCATTGCCAACATACTTTCATTTATTCCTTCACTCTATAAATCCAGTTATGTTCAAGCTTCCACAGTCATTTAACCTGAGTTGAGTGTGAAAAAATTGGACAGAAAATTTAATCTGTGATACCTGACAGTTAGATTCTCTAGTCTTTTTACATTGCTGTTATTCTTCAGACAAAAGACAGATGATTTTGCACATTATAGTTAATTTCAAAAATCAGTATTATCAAGTCTTCTTTATGAAAAAGGACTGAATTGAAATAATCTGCCTCCTTGTCACTGCTAAACCTGAGAGGACTGAAAAATTATTAATGTGGAGGAATATGGTCATCTTGTCAACAAAATTCATTTATTTCACAAAGACTTAAAACCCCACAAAACCGTACACTGACAACATGAAAACAATCCTTCATTGCTTACCTAATTCATAACACTAGTGAACTAAAATTGGTATAAAAAACAGTGAGTAGATCGTACCCATATAACGAAGTACTCAAAATATTAGAGGAAAAAAGTATATTTAAAAGGCCATGGAAAGACTGCACGATATTTCCCCAAAATGTAGAAAGATCACAGTTTATATATAAGTCAAGAACTATATCCTATAGCCCAACACCCATCAGATGTGGCACTGAATGGATGCCAGAAGGAAATAGATAGGTAAAATTTTATAAGAGACCAGAAGTACTCATCGGTTAGTCTTTTAAAAAAATCCAGAAAATAAACCACTGGCATTTCCTTTCTCTGAAGAGGACCAAGCATTTTTATAGTTGAGAGTAAATATCTCCCAACATCCTTACAAGTTTTGCTCTCAGCAGTCCATGTCTACAAAAGCTAAATATCTTCCATCACCACAGATTTATCCATTCAGACCAAGACTGGAGCTATTTGATTGCCTGGGATTTTTTTTAGGGTGTTGCTTTTGAAACAGCATCTGCTTACTGAATAGAGAAAATCCATCTCTAGGGTTGCAAGTTTAACACTTTTCACTGGCACTAAACTTATATCTGTGGAAAATACCTGCTCTGTTATGTTTATAACATAGATAACCTGAAAAAGTAGAAATGCATAATTAAAAACATACAGTGGAAATTGGAGAAGCTAGCATATATATATTAAAGTTAAACTCTGTCATGAAAACTAGTTCATGTCCACATTTCTGTGTAAAAGTCAGGCTACTTCTCAGCAGGGACCAGTTTTTTTTGAACCTAATTTCACCTTTTGTGTATCAACTGATTTTTCTAATTTGAAGAGATTTTAGTCCACTAATCATGTCCTAGCCTTCTTGTGCTAGAATGTTGAAATCTCCTTTGAAAGTGAAAGGTCTAATTAATGAGTTACAAGGGGAGATTTCTGTAACAAAAGAGGTACTTCAGCTTTGCAAACAATTTATACAAAATGTTTAAAATGAGCTCTACTTCTTATAATGTGAGACTAGTCTTCCCATTATTTTATCCTTTCATCAGAACAGTTTGCAAAGATATACAGAATGGTTGAAGAACATATCACAGAAGGATTGATAAATTGCCTTTTTTTTAATTAGAAAGTTAATGTCATTGCTCTATTGTTTCACTCTTCCTCTCTTTTTTTTTTTTCAATACTAATTGCAAACGTTTTTTGGTAACTAGATGTCTCAATCTGGTCCAAAACCCAAATAGATTCATAAATACAAATAATTGCAGAAAGAAAAGACTGTTGTCTGTTTTAGAGATATGGATTACTATTTCATTTCATCACTCCAGGAGCAAATGTTTAGAGGTGTAAATGAAAGCTTAAAAATTCTGGAGATAGAGTAATTTTAAAGTATTGCATCATAACGTTTGGTTATACACCATCCTGTTTGTTTTTTATTTACACAATGTATATTTATTACTAGAGAATGCAATGCAAAAGGACTGCACAATGATTTTGTTTAAACAGCAGGAGATAAGTCTGAACAACCATTGAGAAAAAGATTACAGAAAATAGCTCAAGTGTTCTGTCTACCCTTTTTACTAAAAGAACAACACAAAAAAGCCTCTTTAAATGGCCTGGGAGGCAAGGAACATAACAATCTATTTCCAGAAAAGTTGTATTCAGTCAGTCAGTTAAGCTACATAAACATATGGTGAAGCTGGTGTTCATATTGCTTCACTGTATCAATACTGAGCAATGGAACGAAGTTCCCCATGGATCAACAGACAAGCTTATTCCCAAAGTTGAATGGCAAGTGCTATTTACGCCAACTCCAGTAAAACTGCATGTAATTATGTCACTACAGAATATGAGCTACTGCCCTCACACACCACTGAGCTGAGAAGACATATTAGTTTGTTTTCAGCCAGCTCAGTCTCTCACTCAGGGCTAGAGTTTTCCAGTGTCCAGTGTCTACTACTAAAGTGTTATGCCTACAGTTAGCAGAAATTCCCAATTAAAAAATTATAAACTGAAGGTGTGAGTGGTGGGCTATCTCTACAGTCACAAAAGATAATCTGCATCATGTGAAAGGAAAAATAAATAGAGACAGTTGAGATTTCTTTCAACAAAATGGGAAAAGGTACTTTGCATATACAGAATTGCTCAAAAAGAGGGGTCTGTATTATTCAACTCTCACGTAAATATAACCAGAGAAAAAAATCTAAACTTTGGGTTCCTCTTTCTGTAGAGGCACAATTTAAAAGTTACACTGGGTTTGCATGGCAAGGTTTTGGTAGTGGGGGGCTACAGGGGTGGCTTTTGTGAGAAGCTGCCATAAGTTTTCCCTACGGTTGAGAGGTCCAATGTCAGCCAATCCAAAACGGACCTGCCACTGCTGGCCAAGGCCAAGCCAAACAGTGATAGTGGCAGCGCCTCTGGGATGGCATATTTAAGACGGAGAAAAAACATTACTGCACAGAAGCAATAGCAGCCAGAGAAGAGGATTGAGAATATGCAAGAGAAACAACTCTGCAGACACCAAGGTCAGTGTAAAAGGAGTGGGAGGAGGTGCTCTGGTGCACCAGAGCAGAAATTCCCTTGCAACCCATGGACAAGACCATATTGAGGCAGGCTGCCCATCTGCAGCCCATGGAGAACCACAGGGTGCAGAGATCCACCTGCAGCCCATGGAGGAACCCACGAGAGAACAGGTGGATGCCTGAAGGAGGCTGTGAGACGATGGAAAACCTTCACTGGAGCAGGCTACTGGCAGGACCTGTGGCTCCACAGGGGACCCACGTTGGAACAGTGTGTTCCTGAAGGACTGCATCCCATGGAAAGGACCCACACCAAGAAGAAACAAAAACACAGACACAGAAACGCAGCATAACAATAAATTATCACAGTGAGCTGACAAAAGAACATAGCTATGCAAATTTAAAATTCTGCATTTTGGACAATATACTATATAGTAATAGGACTACTAATTTTTGTTCTTCTTTGACTCAGTTAACAAAGACTATATTACTAACTACATTTATTTTAACATCCTTATTGATATTCCGTGCGAGTTAAAACACAGATAACTGTAGCACTAATTCCTGATTTTCTGTCACCTGCATGTAATGTTGCTATTCAAACACATGATGCTTCTAAATGCTGACCCATTAAAAATGAAGTGAAAATTCAATAAGATGCACAAGATTAGTTTTGCTAATACTGTTGACACTAAACGCATTAGTTTATATAACACATCACTAAATTAAACAGATTGTAATCTTGCACTAAGTGAAGGCATTATGAACCAGGCTCATTCTCTTTCATTAAGAATGCAATCAAGAGCTTTTCAGATTTATCTGCTACAGAAAACATATTCAAGACTTATTTAATCAACGATGACAAAACTTTCTTCTTCCAATAATTTAAAGCAAAGTTGAAGCAATATAACATTAGGCCACAATTCACTTGGGATAGGGTAGGTCAACAACATTAAATAGATGCCATAAAGAAAAGGGATTAAAGAGCTCAACTATAAAATAAGCCTCATTATATCAAGACCTAATGTTAACCTAGAACTTGAAACTACATTGCAAGAGAATAGAAAGAGAAAAGTAACTTCTTTCACACATGGAGTAATAAATGCTAAGTGGTGCTTTGAATAACTAGAAATTATGTTTCTCTGAGAGGAATAGTATTCAAATAGTTACTGCTTAGCTCTCAAGAAGGTACTTGAAATAAATTTCTCATTGATTCTCATTGATTTTCAAAAACACATTCCCAAAACCAATAACTTCTGTTTAATTATTTTTTAATATTGATATATTTAATATACAATGCAAAGATGAGTATCTAACAAGTGACTACTCCATATAAAAACTAAAAATTAAGTACAATCAATAAAACTGTAAAGGAAAAATCTCCTAACATTTTTATATTCCTTGCTGAAAGGAGCTTGTTTTATTAACTTAGCTGTAGTGTGGGCTTCTTATGTCACTAGATGGAGTCTACCTGAAAGTACCATCCAAACAAAACCTTGAGTGCACCTGCCCAGCTCTATCAAGAATAATTCAGTACAGCCATATGACAGTAAAAAGCAATATATGAACTTTGTTATGAAACTGTGGCTAACTTCACACTTTTGTAATACATTTAGGCAGGAGACCAGAGGGTATCAGAAATCCCAGTGACAACTGCTGCCAGTAGGTATGGAGAAAGACTGAGAGATTCACCCAAGGTTATGTATTTAGAAAGGTTATGTATTTACACTCATCTAGAGTGTAAAAGAATGTTAAGAAATAGCTCCTCGGGGAAAATCTAACCCAATACAACCCAATGCAAAAGGCTAAGCCTGAAGTGAAATGCTGCATGCCGGATTAGGCTGCTCCATCAGGTAGAGCCTAAAACCTGTCTTGTGTCTTGTTTCCCTGGGTTCAGGGTGACAGTCTAAGCTGGCCTGGAGGGGCCAGAGACCTGAGTGGCAAGTGAGGTCCATGTGTGGCAGGAATAAAATACTACCATAGAAAATGCTATCTCCATCGTGCTTAATAAACAGATTTCAAGTTTTATGACACTGTGGCTCTGTTCCTGCAGCCATCCCACACAACTCCCTCAAAACATCCTGAAGCAGGCCACTGTTCATCATCCATATTATGCTAATCCTCAGGAGAGTAAAGCAACAGGTTACCATGCAGATGTTACTTATTTCTAAAAAACCCCAATAAATTAAACAAAAAATAAATCAAGAACAGGAAAGAAGAGACATAAATTTCAGGAAAATTATCCTAGTGCTTTGTTACTAATGGAGTGCCTTTTTACAGTGGCACAATAACAAAGAGCATTTTTAGGAAGAGCAGATGTGAGACTTTTTTGGAGAAACTAGCTACTCTGTCCTAAATGTATAGGAATAGGTACAGAAAAGGGCAAAGACAGAGACATAAAAGGATTTGACAGTGTATTTGCAAGGCTAGAAACGGGAATGTGTATTTTCATAAGCAGAAATGTCTAAATTCACAGAATATTTTTTAAGAAGGAAACCATGGTAGAATTCTAGTCCCACTGAAACCACTGACCCATTTCATTTCACTTCAATAAGGCTCATATTCAAACCTGAAATTTTCAGAATGTTTTGTGTGGTATTTTCTCTACTGGGGTGATAGTAAGTGCTTTGTTGTACATCATACTTAATATGCATTTGAGTTTGGACTATTTTTTTTAAGAGTGCATGGTGTTTACTGATGACTAATCATATGATTTTATACAGCATTTCTGATGGCTGATTCCACACAGACATTATTTTTGTTGTGCTAATCTCTTTTTCTCTAAAAGCAAACAAACTAAAAGAACTTTAAGTTACACAAATAAGAAAGAGGTTTTTTATTTGGCTTAAATAGAGAGCAAAATCTTATTGTAAGAGAAACACCATTATATTGCTCTGCTGAAGCTGTTCACTGCCTCACAGTACACTCCAACTTGAATTAGTGAAAGTGTGTTGTCCAGACTCTCAGAAAAGAGTTTCTTTAAAAGAACTGCAGCTTGAAAAATTTAACACAAATAATTCAACAAATTCAAATTTAATTTGCTTGCTTTACAAATATATTTAGAAATCTGCTTATTATCAAGTACCAAAATACTTGGATAATATCAAGGTAAGTTATTTCAGAAAATCATCTAAATTTACTAAATTTACTTTTAAAATAAAAACATTAATATCTTTTTCTATTCTGTGAAATTTTTTTCCTCTTAAAATAGTCAAGGATATATATGGACAGTTCTCTTGTATGTACTAATTTCCAAAATCTTTGGGATTCTTAGGAGATGTGTAAGCTGCAGTTGAAAGCTGTTTGGACTAGAAATAATATCACATTCTACAAACACTTTAATTTGAATAAAAAAGGCCTTTACTTCCAAAATACTTCCTAGCATCTTCAGCTGTTGCAAATAGAGCTAACGCTACTCAGTGTACTCACCGAAGACTGTCCTGGCAGGTACAGATTCTCTGTTCAGCCAGAATGACACTTGAGAGAGAATGACAGTCATGATACAAGGGAGGTAAGTCTGAATGACAAAATAACCAATTTTTCTCTTCAGGTGAAAATGAGCCGTCATAACTGTATATTCACCTAGGTGCCACAAACAAACAAAATACAGTGAAACAAAATCTTAAGAAAGTCCATTTCTTTGGTAAGAGAAAGTTTGCTACACTTATGTGAACCAAATGTGCTAGGGTTATATTATACTGAAAGTATTCTGTAATAGAAAGCATCCTACAGAATACAAGAAAGATTTTGAGTACAGCTATATCTTATTCCCACTGAGTTCCATGACAGATGAGTGTTAAGGAACTTCCAGGAACTTTTGTATGCCCTGAGAAGAACTTCAGCCCTGTAGGCTTCTGCACACAAGCAACTCTGCATTCACACAACAGCTCCTTGAGAACTTAATCATGGTTAGAAAGCAGTCGTGAGGGCCCATCACAGAATGGCACACGTAGGAAAACAGTCTAGAGTCTAGTAGAATAATCCAATGTTTAATGCCAAAAACATGATGGAAGGGAAACCTATATGCTTTATCATTTAATAGACAAAAAGTGTCACCATATGAAATTAAACAAATATCCCAGTCTTGGGTTACAAATATAAGGATTCAACATGGAGCTCCAGCCAGCATTTACAAAACAGTCACTGCAGACAAGCTCAATTTTGCTATCACCAGTTACTTATTAATATGAAAGAATTGGTAAAGTGTTGTTTTGTGTTACTTGTACAGTACATTGACTATGCCTAATAGATCACCTTTTGCAACAATTTTTTCAGTAGCCTTTAACAGCACCAGAAATATATTCTTCAGAGCAAGTAACTGCCTTTTTCTTCAAAATATCTTTTACTAACCTGTACTTGATTTAACTGTTTCTTTTCCAATTGTTTGACCTAAAAGGTCATACTGATTCAATCTTGAGCCATCTGGTGCCACCTGTACCGAATCTGAAGCATTATAAGTCCAAATATATGTCACTTCTGACGTTGTGTATGCATCTGTGAGAAACAAGGTACAATAGTTTGTCAGCAATTTAAATTAGACAACTTCCATCAAAACTCATAGAATTACAATACCCAGTTAATTTTCAAATTAAAATTCACCCAAAACAGTTTAAAATGATATAGTAAAAAATATGTTTGGCTGTTTAAATAGCTTTACCGTAAAGTAAATACCTATTGCAGCATGGGAATAGGGCACTCATTTGTGATCTTATTAAGCACAACTTATTGTTATGAAATTACAAACAACATCTTTTCTACACTGTTAAAAAAATTGTCAGAGACCAGGTATTATATGTATCCTATAACTCTGGTAAGGCAGATGACAAGAACAACAATTTCCAAGATTTAGAACCCACAACATTTTTAAAAATTCATTGCTATATTGTTCTGACCTTTCATTGTCCCCACTATCAACTTTGGGAATGGACTACAAGCATTTTATTATTAGCTGAAATTCAGACTTAAATATGGGAAGCCAGGGTCAATGACAGTGCCCTTGTCGTGGCTCTGTGCCTTGCCCTGCCTACCCTCTTAAATCTCACTCCCTGGCATCATTTTGGGGTGCACACTGACATTAAGCAGCTGCTCTCTCAGTACATTCATGATCAAACATACATTTAGCTTGGGGTCTGTCAAAATAAACTAGAATGAAAGCAAATCAATGCTGTATTTTAAACAGCAACAATGTCACTGTAGTAAGAAACAAAAAAAATCGAGTATGTCCTGAAAGATTTTCCAGCCAAATATTCTATTAACAAATGGAGTATGAAAGGAAAAGGGTAAACCACTGATGGAAGAAGTTGTGTGTTCATTTTGATTGACTTAGAAAAGTACATTTTAAATATTACACCATAACTGCAGTGCAGTGAAAGAGAAAAGCATAATTTCTGTTGGTCTGCAAATACTTGAGAAATCTCTAGAGGATCAGAAAGAAGCTTCTTCATGCAACTAGACATAAATTGCATAACTAACAAAATCTAGCAGGTGGGTAGCATGTAGAGATTCTTAACACTTCCCATCTATCTTTCCATCTTTCCACAAGAATATCTCTGCTTTAATGCAAATCAGCACTAAATGCAAATCAATATGGCCAATTGTTGATTTGTCCGCATCCTCCCCACTGTTGGCTAGACTTTTTGAAAACAATAAAGAAAGGTGATCTATTAAACTACAACTTCTCCCATACATTCAGTTTGGCTTTTCTCTTACTTATAAAAAAAGACATTCATACATGCTGATGATCCTCCCAGCAATGTAAGTATAGCAGCATACGAAGAGCTGTGACAAATATATACCACTGGCAAACTTTCCTCAGTTAAACCCAAATCCTCATGATTCCTGCTTATTTTCACCACTATTCATCATTCAGATTCTGTCCCAGAATAAAAGCTGAAAAATGCACAGTTGTCTGAAAATGAAAACCTGGAGGTTTTTAAAAAGAGATTGGACGTGGCCCTTAGTGCCATGATATAGTAATTGGAGTTGGATCAGGGGTTGGACTTGATGATCTTGGAGGTCTCTTCCAACCCTACCTATTCTATGATTCTATGGTAAGGAAATAAAATGTGTGTGAAGCCATTCAAAATGAACAGAAATAAGAGTCCCCTGGATATACCAACAGGCTGGAGCCCAGATGACTATGAGAGAAATGAAAGAGAGGGGTTTTTTTTAAATCACATTGCTCACATTTAGAATTCTCTGGATTATTAGAAAACCAGAAACCATAGGCCGAGAATAAAGAACAAACCGGTAAGAAAAAAAACGAAACTAACAAAAATCCCTCCTGTTCACACAAAGTCTAATATACCTAGTCAGAAGGGTTATCAATTTAGGAATGCAAATGAAGGAAGTACCCTCCTGGCATATGTTTCATTAATACGGGATTTTTTAAAGTTGTTTAAGGCTACATTTCCGTCTTTTTTTCCTCCAAAAACTTATAAATCAAACATATCTTGCTTGCACACCTATGTAAATATTATTAGTCAGCAGGCAATTTTGGCTAACATCTCTGGTGTTAGTTATTTAGGGTGCATTAAGTATTAGAAATATAATACTTAGGGGGCAAAAAAGGCTCCATGATACAAACAGTATTAATTCGAATCTCCATAGATAAGATTTCCCTCTAGTGTGGAAACATCATCAGAAGCACAGGCTTGGTCTAATTTGCTCCTAACTCCAAGGAAAAGAGATATCAGAGTTATGGGGAGAGTGTGTACAGTGCTCTTAAAATGATCGTCTGGTTAATGATGTCCTTAGTGGCAGCATATCCTCTGTTTTGTAACCTGTGGTTGCTACAATTATTATGAAATCAACCAGAATTTAAGGGTATTAATTTGTTTCCTCAAAAAAAATATCCCTTTCCTGGGCCCAACAGAGAATGTAGGTTGCAGCCAATGAAAGAAAAGAAAGCTTTTAGTGTACGAAATCCAGGAAACATATGTAATGAAGAAGAAGAAGGACTGTAATATAAGTAAATTAAATAATACTGCTGTTAAAATAACACTAGTGAGATCAAAGTCCACCTGTCTCTAACATGCAGATGCACTAACGTAAAAATTTTTATCTCGAGATGCCATTTCTTATTGCTTTCAATAGAACAAGAGCATAAAAATAAATATCATTAATAATAAAGAGAAACTAAATGTTTTAATAAATTAAAACAAACATTTATCGAAGTCATTGATCTGCTCTTCGTTAATACTGCACAGGCTATGTGTGTCCAGTTCTATGTTCATCGGTATGGTTTGCACGCTGCAATAAAACTAGACCAGTGCAGTGTTGATCAGGTGCAGAGTTTTTATTGTTAACTGGAGTCATGAAATCTTTAAAATACACTAGAAGATACAACACTGAATAGAAAAAAGGGATTTTGATGTGTCAGGTTACAAATATTTTTAAAAATACCATCTTGTGGTTAAAATATCTCATGTAAGATTTACTGAAAAAAAATTATGCTGAGCAATGTTAGATATTCACTAACCAAAGGCTATACTTCACATTATATACTTACAGCTGCCAAATTTCAGTGGGCAAGAGTGCGCATCCATAGGGAAATCCTCCAAGTGCATTGGACATTCAGCTTGGACTGTAAGCCTAAAAGGCAAAAGACTATGATGCATTTAAGTCGTTTAGCAGGGCAAGAAATTCAATTCCAGCGAACTGAAGAGAGTGCATGCTGATTTAGGAGATTAAATTGCAATTTTACATTAAACTAACAAAAATTTAGATCAGCTCTTGCTTCTTCCCTTTTATGTGGTCCTTTGGAAGGCATTAACTTATCACATCAAAAATCTGAAAAAGCTGACCTCAGAACTATGAGCACAGACCATTTAAAGACAAATATAAATTATGTAATTGCAGGTTATTAAGAACAGTAATTTTCTTCTCATAATAGTCTGAGATACATGGGTGCTTATATGGTTCTCAAAGGCTCATTATAAAAGCATATAAAATACAGTTAATTTGCCAAAGGACTATGCTCCAGCGTCTTCTGAATTTAAATTTTTTGGTTTGAGTGGGATATGTAGAGGAAAAATATTTGTGTTCTTTCAAAAGATTGTTGCTACTCATTCTCCGTGTTACTTGTGATTATTCTTTTGATTTGTATATAAATGTGAAAGTATGTGAACAGTACATCCACTTTTGCTGATTTTGTGAAAAAAACCCCAGCAATATCCCAGTATCATATGTGGGAATTAGTGTAATAAAAAATAATTTAAAACAATTTGAAGAAATTTTTTTGCAGACTTTCTCATTATTTTTAATTAAAAAAAATAAAAAAGCCAAAAAAAAAATGTCTCTTTCTCCTTCCTGTCCTGGAAGCCTCCTCTTGGTAGAGGTTTTTTTCTGGATGCCTTTGCTCCTCTTCATCCAGCCTCAAACATCAGCTACATCCCTCTGTACTGTCAGTGTTTCTAGTCTTTTTATTCTTGGCTACTTTCTCCCACCCTTCCACTCAAAAATATTCCATATTTCTATTCCCCCACTCCCCAGGAATGTTTTTCTGAATTCAAGGGGCAGAGAGAGACAAGAATCAGGAAACACCTGAAGGCAAAGGAAAGAACTGCATGAGCCTCTGATAAAAATCACACGATTATTTTATTTAGACACAGAAAAAAAGGCTGTTTAAAATCTAGGCAATAAAACCAGTTTACACATTAACCTTATATTCTGAGAACCAACACACTTACAAGTCATGAAAACGTTTAGTGAATTTTAGTTAACATGACCCATCTTAACGTTTCATAATAGTTTCAGATAATATTTCTTTTTATTTACAGCATATGATTATAACACCTTCTGGAGGAAGAGAATTTCAGTCAGGTTATACAGATACTAGTTCAAATATTGATTCGAGCCTCCCCCAAAAAATACTACAAATGGTGTCTCAATTGACTTCCAGCAAACTTTTCTGAACCTCTCCAACCACCACATCACCTAACATCATTAGCAGTCTACCCATCAACATTCAATATTGTAAGGGTTTCAGAGCTGTATAGTAAAATCAGGCTCAAGGGATGCTAGTACAGCTGCATGGAAAAAAATCACACAGTACACGTTTGCTTTGCAGCTCGTATTTATATCTATCTTAGGCTGGGGATTTTAAGACCACAGGAACAACAATTTCAATTTATTAAATATTCTCCAAGAAAAAGAAAGAAACTAAGTCAGGCAGGGTCTTCTGGAAATTTAAAAAAAATCCATATAGGTAGCATTATTGTTAAAATAGTAATCAAAGAAGAAATCAGTCTTATAAAAACACTGCTTATATCTATGTATACATGATATTTATAATTTTTTCATAAATTATTTTCTAAGTAAATTTAATACTTTTTACCAGCTAAATATTTATGGTAGCTGCTAGTGATGCACAAAAATTAAAACTCTAAGTAAAATATTGTAATTAGATATAAAGAAACAATTATTATAACAAGACATATTTTCCCTATAGCTCTTGCTGGAAAGAATTTGAGACCTTATTAACTCTTTATTCTTTGATTTTTTTTATTGCTACTGATCTTAATAAATTTGTTTAAGAGCTCACATAGTACAACGGGTGCAGTAACAGGCAAAAGTCATATACTATTTTAATCATTTTAAGAGTGGGTAAACTCTATCCGAAGGTCTCAAAGCACTTTATGCAGGTTGTCAATATCTTTAATGCATTACAGAGATATGAAAACTGAGGCACATGTAGGAAAACTGATCTAACTCCTTATCAGACAACAGACTTTTAACAGAACTGGAAAACAAACACATTTTTTTAGCTTTCTTTCTGCTAGAACAGAAAGACAACAAAGGAGAGTCCTCCTGGAACCTTATTTCTTACTTCAAAAAAATCACATCAAGAAATAGCTTGAGTAGAGAACTGATGAACAGACTTACCTCATGGTGTACAATAGAGTTCCATCATCTTGGATTCGTAGGAGCTTGTTTGGCATTGTCATGTTATGAGCCACTGACTTCTTCCCATTGTGAAAAAATGTATCTGGGGTCCAGATTTTGCTGGCCATTAGGTTGTTCAATCGAAGAATGTTCATTGGGCCCTTAAACTTTAATCTCTCATCCTTCCATTTCTGACGGAAGAAAACATCTATTGTGTATTCCTGTAACGGAATAAATATATGCTTTTTTTGACACAACGAAACACTAGTCTGCTTTCTGAGAACCAAAACAGAAAAGCTCTTTTGCAGAATTCCCTTGGTAAAATTGTCAAGGGAGAATGATCACCACACAAAATTATATAATATTGAGAATAATAAACAGGAATTCAATGTATTAACAGTATGACTTTCTCCTTCATGGTTGCTAGCTGTAGTCTGTATGTTGAACACTTCCAATATTTAGATTTCTGTACCTGATAAACAGTGGGTGTGTGACAAGGCTAATTTCAGTAAACATAGCTATTTTACATTAAGAAGTAAGGAAAAAATATACAGAAAGACATTAAATAGTTGTTGTGGCATCTACTGCTGTAGAGCAATCCAGCATTTCAACAGCACAAGAGAATGGCTGAGACTAGAAGTAAGGAAACAAGGCAACCTGTAAAGGGTACAATATATTCCAGCAGGATGATACAAGGAAGATTTTCCAAAGAGGAATGTAAGGCTCTGTAGTAGTATGGATTTTATAAACAAAAATACATAAGTAGGAAACAATAGGTGATGATTGACAGGTGACACACACTATCTATGGAACTTTACTTTGATGCTTTAACTTGGGAAGACAGTATAATCCAGGAAAAGAACACAAGCAAAAACAAACTGATAACCTAGACCAGATGCCTGTGTCAACCAGTGCTGGGCATCCCATCTGCTGGGTTTTGCTGTTGTTCTAAGTAACAAACAAACAAAAAAGATACTGATTAAACATTGATAATGTAAATTCATCCACTAACTTAAAATTGAATCTGAAAATTGATTTAGTGTTTTGCTACTGTCAGCACAGCATATAAATTGGAAATGGAAGAGCATAAAAACTTTGTTGGAAGGAAACTGCATTCTGTGTATTGGCAAATGCTACCTTTTTGTTTTGTTGGACAGGTACAAAATGGTCTCATGACTTCAAAATATTAGTATGTTGCAACAGTTTGTACTATTGCAACTGCTCTTCATAAACCATTTTACATAAACCATTTTCAAGTAAATTATCTTTGAATTGACAAGTCCTGATAAAATTCAACCAATATAAAATATTCAAGTGATTTCAATATAGAAGTGACTTCAAGGAACTTATCAGCCTCCATCGCTTTCTGCTGGCTCCCTTGTGTGCTGATTAACAAGGCTTAAGGTTCTTCTCCGTCAATCATACAGTGGTACAAAAGCAGTGCTGACTAGACAGCGACAAGTGACAGCCTTTTCAGCTCCTTTGGTCTGTGAGCCAAGGAACTGTGAGGACCTTTCCCAGGTCAGGGCCAGAGGCTAAGGAGAGCATGTGGAATAAAGGAAAGAGAATTTTGTCACCTGAAGGAACACAGTAGGGGCAGGAGAGAAAACAGTTCTCATTAGGAACTGTGACAAGTGCATATTTTGGAAATTATGAATACTTATAACCTAATCTGGCAAAAATTACCAGCTCAATTTTCAGCTATACCAAGAGGTCTTACAATAAAATACAATAAAATTTTGTCATTTTTCTAATTACAATCATAAATATTCAAAATTATCTTAAATCAAATTTACAGTACACTGAAAATTAATTTGCTTGGTTTTCTTTAAAACCAGTTGCTATTATCTCTAATAATATTTTAGTAAATATATCTCTGAAATACAAAATTATGAACTTCTAAAATGTGTATTTCTTTGCTATTATACTCGATTTTGTACAGTCGCTCATCACTACCAGAGACAGTCTCATGACAAATAGTTTGCTCATTTCTCTGTGATAGATCACGGTCAATTGTACTCTTTATTTGCTGATTTATATTTTGTTTTATTTGTTAAATATCATATGACTTAAAATCCCATTTGAAAACAATAGTTTACCTATCAGTTCAATGTAGAACAGGAAAAGTGACAAAATGCTTAGTATCATGGAGGATCAGGAGCAGCAGAAACAGTGTGCTTGAAGAAGGGTAATATATGAAATTTGGATGGAAATACAGTGTAATTAAAGGAAAGCAATTGCCCTAGGAGCTTCATTGTGGTTTTTGTCTGAGAGGCTTTACCAGTAAGTCATTGCTATGTATGATAAGATTGATGTTTGAGGTATAAAGAAGTAGGAAGAAGAGCCTGAGGGAGTAAGACTTTGAAATCCCACTGAAATTCAAAAAGAGTGATAAGTCCTACAGATTCTTTTGACAAATATTCCTGCACATAAATGATTAGAATATAAATCTCAGCTTTCTGCAATGTTTCCATCAATAAAGAACTTCAAAGGTCCTGCTTCTTCACTGTCTTCCAACATACATAAAAAGAATCACAGAGAGATAAAACAGGAAAAAAAAAAAAAAGCAGACATGAAATGCCCCTAAATCAAAACAACAATATTTCAAAAAAACCCCACACCTGCTGCATGGCAACAGCTTAGAAAGTAGAATGACTGGAAAGAATCTGAGCTGCAGCCTTGAAAGATTCTACTGATAAATCTCTGATTAATCCACAGGTAATTCTAATCTCTCCATCCCATCCACACTGGTGATCTTTATTTCAGAACATCCCATTTAGAAGATGGAAATGGGGAATAAACCAAGGTTTGGTGTGAATGACGAGAAACACCTTCTTCTTCCACTTGCAACAATAGTAAAATCTCACATAGTTCTTAACTAACTTATCTTTCTAAAGACCTCTGTGCATTTTTTTCAAAGGAAATATTGGGATCTCAGCTTTGTATGAAAGGAAACTAAGGCGCTGAGGTGAAATTAATTTGTCATGGTCCATTTAGAGTGATTATGAAAAGCAAAATACAACCCATGCCTTTGCATCCCAGTGCTATATCCACTGAACCCATGTTCCCTCCTGTGCCAAATTTATTATACTTATGATCATGACTACCCCTGTTGATGTTTACTATATGAAATAAATTTAAAAATATGAAATTATTGAAGTATTTTGAGTATATTTAATGTGATAAAAAGCCAACATTTATCGAAATATGCTACATAAAGATTTTGTAACTAATTCCTATTCTATATACATATGACTTTGTGGTAAAGGCTGTGTAATGCTTACTTTTCTGTGAAGACCAACATTCCGTGAGAAATGCAAATTTAGACTCTAGAAAGGATACTCAAATTAATAGCCAATACTAATTTCATTCAAACTGCAGATATTCTCCTATGTGAAAAACCTGTGCTGTCTTTGGACACAACCAAATTATCCTCCAGTATAGAGTGCAGTATCTCCACAAAATCACAGGAGAATACTTCCAGGTCTTCAAAGGACTCCTGTGATCATTGCTAAACAATAAAATGCTTCCTACTGATTTGTGTCTAAAATGTGCTTTCACAGCTAGATTCTAGCACAGTACAATTAATCTTTCAAATATGTATTATACCAGCTTATGTGAAATTTTTGGTACAGACAATGAGTTCTTACTACAGTATGAAGAAGCACTGCCAGTTCAATGGTTAGAAGAATAAAATGGTGAAGAAATTTCATTCTTCTTTTAAAATGCAGTTGTTATGCATAACAGTATGCACCATAAAAACAGACATTAGTATCTCTGGCAGAAGCTTTAACTGACCTGAGTATAAGCAATCCCTCCTCACTACATGGCAGTCTTCTTTTTTTTGCTAAGGACAGATTTGTATGGGAAAAGTTCAGACAACAAAAAATGTATTCTCATCCTCTGAGCTAATGGTTGGCAGATTTTGGCAGTTTTTGTATATGGAGTAAAGATGGACGTGTTCCAAACATCTCAAAAATTGTAAGTGTCCATTAGCAATCAGTATTGTCCTGAAGCAGATTGAACATTTTATTAATCACCTTCTGGAACACAGCATTTTGTTTAATGAATAGCTTAGGCCAGAGGTCCTTATTCCCTACTTGTAAAAATTTCTCTTATTCAATTCTCTAAAGTATGTTTTTCTTTTTCTTTACCACTCCTAAAGCCACTAACTGACACACATTTATAACCACAAAAGCAAATTTTAAATACTGTAAAATATAAAACTTCTAAAAGGCAAATACGAAAAAAATTAAAAACAAGTAAACAGAAAATGGCACATATATCTTTTCATTGATTCCTTAAAGACAGTCAGAAATACTGTGGTTGATACAATGATGAGATAAACACTTCAGATTAATGGACCTAAATCTCACCTAGCTAATTTAGGGTCTTCATATTAATACTTAGTTGGACATTAGTATAATTTCATAATTTTAATTCTTAAAAAGTAAATTCTTGTTATTATCTCTATCTTAAGGAAATGTGTAATTTTTTCTTTCAGTTTAGCTTAAAAACATTAACAATATTAATATGTGTCTGCTACTGTTGAATACTAACATGATTGGTATGCATCTAGGCAACAAAACAACTTTCCAGAAATCAGGAAGTTTTAGACTCAAAAAAATGCAATTATGTAAAGAAAACTAATCTACACAGTATATGCACTCTTGTTATAACCTGATATTTGTGGGTTTGATGAGTGCAAGTTTGTGATGCAACTTCTGCAAATCAATTTATTAAACTTCCATACTAAACATTTTGAATGAATGCTTAAATTAGCTTTACAGTGGGAGGCTCAAATCATTAGTTTGTTGTTTTGGTCATTTCATTCTCTGTGGGACAGATCTATGCATGGTGCAGATGACATACACAAGGGCTAACTCACTACAACAATCTGCATAACCTAGTTCATCATTGTATGGTTTGGCTTTACCTGGGCCTGTCTACCAGACTGGACAAACAATCCATCTCACTTTCTACTTCTCTATTCTCTAAAAACAAATAATTGTCTAACAACATCAGGACTGAAATAGTTCTCATCCAAACCGCCTCAATGCTCCAATCACGAACACTGACTACTCAGGCTCTGCATCGAACATCAAATCTCACTACACAGATGAGCTGAGTCCTTTTGCTCTTCTTCAAAACTTACCTTCTGATGCGTGCACAACACAGAAAACAGAAGGAAATAGCAAGTGGCCAGAAATTCCTTTCAGGT